TCTCTTTTCTAAGAGAAAAGCTTCAGTAACCAAAATTAAGAAAATGTATAAACCTTACATTTATACATTTTCTTAATTTATACATTTATACATAACTCCTCTTCCTCCAAAGAGAATACAAGGGAACTCATGGAAATATCAGATAAAGAATTTTAAATATTCATTGTAACAAAGCTCACAGAGATGCAAGAGAAGAGAGACAATAAACTCCAGATGGTGCAGAAGAAAAGAGACAATGAATTCCATGAGATGAGGATATTCTTGCACAATCTGAAAGTGGAGATACTCATCTTAAAAAAGAATCTAACGGGATTGTTAGAGAAGAAGGCTGTAATACAAATCCTCCCTTGAAAATATCCAAAGCAGATTATATCATGCAGAAGATCAAATCTCAGATGTAGAAGATAGAATGCTAGACCTAGAAAAATTCACCAAAAAGATTGAGAAGATAACTACCCAAAATGAGAATAACATATGATTAATACTACATACTATTAAACCCCCAATCATATGGATCAGCGGTATCCCAGAAGATGAAGAACTAATAAGGGCATTGATAATCTTTTCCATGAAATCCTGGGAGAAAACTTTTCAAATCTAGAAAGGCACTCAAATATTAAGACCCAAGAAATACAAAGGACCTCACATAGATTCAATCCAAGAAGATCTTCTCCAAGGTACAGCATAGACAGATAGACCAAAAACACAGAAAAAGACTAGATACTCAAATTGGCAAGAGAGAAACATCGGGTTACTTTAAAATCAGGCTAACATCGGACCTTTCGTCGGAAACAATGTAAGCAAGGAAAGAATGGGAAAATATATTCAAAGTGTTAAGTGAAAAGCAATTTCAACTAAGAATACTATATCTGGCAAGATTATCCTTCATATTGGAAGAAAAGCCCGAAATATTCTCAGATAAACAAAACCTGAAAGAATTTACCAGCACCAGACCAACTCTTCAAGAAAGGCTGAAGGGGGACCAGCAGTTAGCGTAACGGCTATGTCGCTGAACTCCCACGTAGTCGACCGTGGTTTGAGTTCTAGATATGGTGGCTTAAACTCATGCTGGGCACGTGTGTGTGCGTGCCCAAGATCCCGAGAAGAGAATGGAGGAGAAGGGATTGCGGCGTGGCCATCCCCCTTGGGGGTGATTTCTTGCTTTCTGTCTCTCTGTCTCACACACCCCCCCAAAAAAAAAAAAAAAAAAAAAAAAAAAAAAAAAAAAAACCTCTCCCCCCAAAAAGAAAGATAAATACTGTATGTTCCCACTTAATAAATACTAGTGTCCTTGATCATTATTGTAAGCAAAAAAGTAGAGAGAGTATTGCTAGGACTAGATACTGAATAGGGTAGCGGTGATAGAAATAGGTAGAAATTGGTTTAAAGACCCAAAAGTGCATGTAAACAAGTATAATAGGTTTTGAAACAGTGTATCATAATAGAGCAGTGAACAACAGTGACAAAATAATGAATTTCCAAAAGGAGTAATTTTTGAATATGAACAAAATAATGTAATGTTAAGTGTTGAAGATAGTGGTTATGCTTACATATATACCTGACTTGATTATTGCATACTGTATACATGCTTTAAAAATCATACTATACCTAAAGATTTATTATAGGTACCGGCAGTTGGTGTAATGGCTATGTTGCTGGACTCCCATGTAGTCGACCATGGTTCGAGTCCCAGACCTGTTGCCTAAAACTCACCCTGGGTGCATGTGCGTGCATGCCCAAGATCTCAAGAGGAGAATGAAAGAGAAGAGACTGAGATGTGGCCCTCCCCCCGGGAGTGATTTCTCGCTTTCTGTCTCTCTGTCTCTTTCTGTCTTTCTGGTAAGTGCATGCGCCCTATAAAAAAACGCTCCAAAAAAAAAAAAAAAGATGTATTATATGTAAATAAGAAATTACAGAAAAATAAAATAAAAGGTTAAAATATAATAAAATAAAATAAAATTTAAAAAGACATACTTTAGACCCAAACCTTTGAGATTACTAGAAGGAAACAAGGGGACATGTTTTATGACATGGGTATATATAATATTTTGGGGATAATACTTGAAAAACCTAGGCAACAAATGCAATATTGAAGAAATGAATGTTTAGAAATTGAACACTTGCACACTGTGGGTGGGAATGTAAATTAGTACATGAAATTTTTTGAATATAAATTAAAACTAGTATGGAGATTTCTTAAAATACTAAAAATAGGATTACATGGGGTTTACCAACCTCACTAATGGATATATATATCCAAAGGAAATTAAAATAGTGTGTCAAAAAATAATCTGTCCAACCATGTTTATCACAGCAGTATTCACAATAGCTAAAACATTAAATCCATCTAAGAATCTCTCAAAATGTCTATATGGAGAAAATGTGGTATATATAGACAATAATGCTCGTTAGCCACAAAGAAGAGCAAAATTATGTCATTCGTGACATGTGTGGACTTAGGACATTATGTTAGTAAAGTATTCCAGGCACAGACAGACAAATAATACATGATCTCATTCATAAATAAAATGTAAAAATATTAAGCTCATTTAAGGAAAGAGTAGGGTGATGGTTACCAAAAGCTTGGATGCTTAATATAGTGGGGAGGTGGGGAGATGATGGTCAAAGAATATACAATCAAAATTAGAGAGGAGGAGTTAAAAATGGGTTCGGACTAGGCAAACATACAGAAATATAAAGTAGAGAAGTGATTGCTTGGAACTGAGATTTGGGAGAAAGATTTGAAGGCTGGGGAGGAGAAATGAGCAATAAGTACTAATGGTTATGAAGTTTCCTTATTGGATAATGAAACTGTTCTAAAATAAATTGTAGTGTTATTTGAACCTCTCTGTGAACATAATAACCATTAGATTGTACATATTGTTGGGTGAATTTGTGATACATGACGCATATCTTAACAAAGCGGTTAAGGAGTTAAACATACAATTACTGTTCTACCCAAAAAGAAACCTTGCGTCCTAATGTGCACTTAGTATATGATCCAGTAATTGTGCCCTATGACATTTGTCCTGGAGGAATGAAGTCGTATGCTCTTCCATGAATTTGTATATAAATATTCATAGTAATTTCATTCATAATAGTAAAAAAAAAAAAAACAAGAAACAATCCAGATGTCCTTCATCAGATGAATGATTAAACAAATAACTGTGCATACATTCCATGGAATATCATTCAGCAATGAAAGGAACAAACTATTGATACACACATCATCTTAAATAAATACTCACAGAATGGCCATTCAGACTAGGATTAGGTGATAAGTATAAAAAACTCACCCAAAAAGGACATGTGCGGGGGCTTCAAAAAGTCTGTGGGGGGGGCCGGCAAGTGGCATGGTAGTTAAAGGCACTGGACTCCCACATGGCCGACCAAGGTTCAAGTCTTGGACCTGGTGGCTTGCTTTCTCTCTCTCTCTCTCTCTCTCTCTCTCTGATCAAACTGGAAAATAATAATGATAATAATAATAAAGTTAAAACAAAATAATTCTTTAAAAAAAAGTCTGTGGGAAGACAGAATTAGAGTGAATTCGTTTGAGTGCAATAAAATTTTGAAATTCATAGGTAATTTTTTCATAATACACACTTTCTATGAATGATTCAAAGACCTTTTATATACCACATGCTACTAACATTACAACATGAGGGATACCTATGGGAATGGAACTGCTGGGAACAGTAAATTATACACATGATAAAGTTATGTAGTACTGAAAATACACACAGGTACAGGTAAAACTGATGGAAAATACTAAGATGAGGGGAGTGTATCAATATCACTACCCTGATTGTGTGTGTGTGTATTTATGCTAATGGTGAAAACTGGGTGACATGTACATGGTTTCTCCTTGCAACCACATGCAAATCTAAAAAAACTCAATAAAAATTTCAGTTAAACCATATAAAGGATGGGAAACTGTAAATGTAAACCTGGAATGGTTTTAGTAATAGGAGAAAATATATGAAGAGTATTACTAGAGATAAAGAGACATAGTTTATAATGACAAAATAATCAGTTCATCAGGATTCTAAAAACTAGCACAGAAACCAACTTCAAATATGTTATACAAACAAATAAATAAACCTGAGGGAATAAATCCTTACATGAACCTTCCTTTCTATTCACATTTCATAGAATTAAAAATAACTGTGAGAAGGGCCAGCAGGTGGTGTAATAATTAAGGTATTGGACTCTCACATGGTTGATAGGTTTGAGTCTTGAACCTGTTGGCTTGAAAATCACTCCAGGCACTTTTGTGCCTGCCCAAAATTCCAGAGGGAGAATGGAGGAGAAGGAATTGTGCCATGGTCATCCCCCTGGGGAGTGATTGTTCACTTTCCCTCTCTCTGTCCCTCTCTGGAGAACACATGAACCCTATGACAAAAATCTTAAAACACAAACAAACAAAACAAAACAAAAACTGTTTTTGGTGTGGTTTAAACTGAAGCATAGTATCAGTTATCAAAAGATAGAAATGACACCAAATTTCACTTTATTTCAATTAAAGCAAAGAATAGGGGTTGCATTTATTAATTACTTCAACCTAAATTCAGTACTAAAAAGAAAACATTTTTTAGTGCTTTCCACAAAGGAGTTAATTTATCTTTTTGTTTCACAAAGGAGTTTGCTTATGTTTCTCTGGATTCCATTTCCTGGAAATAGCTGAAGACTGTTAAGTAGGCTTGTTTTATTTCTTTAAAAGATCAGGTACATGCCAAAGTCTAATGCTAATTTTGAGTCACTGAGGACAGGAAGATTCAGAGGGTAAACCTTTAAACAGATTTTATTGTTAACAGCCATACTTATCTCTGCTAAACATTATTTTTATGAGTTTACTGAAAAAGATTTACTTCCTAATTCCAAAAAGGATTGGCAAAAGTGTTTCCACTACTCTGTTGCAATAGTGAGGTGGAGCCTACTGATGAGAAATTGAGGTGAGGAATTAACACATACTTAATGTGAATTAACCAAAGGAAGGATTTTCTCTCTTTGATTTTTAATCTCCACAAAGTTTCTCTTAGGAATCAGCTGTTTGCATTTGATGGCTTTTGAGGAGCTTTTAAGTCAAGTTGGAGGTATGGGAAAATTCCAGATCTTTCAGTTTTTTATAACTCTTCCCTCTCACATGGTAGTAGTAGCTCATATACTATTGGAGAACTTCACTGGAGCCATTCCTGGTCATCGTTGTTGGGTTCCCATCCTTGATAACAACACTTTTTCTGATAATGATACTGGGATCCTCAGCCAAGATGCCCTCCTGAGAATCTCCATCCCACTGGATTCAAACATGAAGCCAGAGAATTGCCGTCGCTTTATCCATCCCCAGTGGCAGCTCCTTCATCTGAATGGTTCAATACCCAACACCAGTGAGCCAGATATGGAACCCTGTGTGGATGGCTGGGTGTATGATAGAAGCTCCTTCTCCTCAACCATTGTGACTGAGGTAAAGGGCCTCATTTATGTCCTCTGGGTACATGATCAGGGTGTTTAGAAGGACATAAACATGCCTAAAGTTTTCAGTTATTATGTAGGTACTGTAGTCAGCTCTCTTATTTTTGTCAGGTAGTAGTGATTGCTTATTTTTTAATTGTTAGGCACTTACATTGATTTTGAGGCAATAAATCCAACCAACTAGACATGAACTCTACTATCACAGAGCTTTAAATCTGGTGTAAAGATAGATGATTAGACAAGTACTTGATGTAACGTGTGAAAAATGTTCTTGATCTTTTGTTCTCAGTCAAGGTTGCAAATTGGAAATATCTGTGTTAATTTAAAAAACTCCACGCCTTGTCTGCATGTCAGAAAAACAACTTATTAAATTCAGGCATCAGCATTCAAATAAAAACAAAAGAACCTCCTTGATGTTTTCAATCCTTGGAATATATTGAGTTATGTAGTGCTCAGTGAATATAAAGATAGAGCATGATATAACTTGGATTTCTAGAGAAAGCCATGCTTAAGCTAAGACTTAAGTGAGATAGGTCAATAATTTTAGTAAACAGAGGCTGGACATGGTTCACTGAGGGCCGCTGGAGCAATTGAATAGTAAGGTATCATAAACTGCTATGATTTCTTGCTGTGCTAATATCCTTTTTTTTTCCAGTGGGACCTAGTATGTGATTATCGGCTATTGAAATCAGCAGCTCAGTTTATATTTATGACTGGAATGCTAGTGGGAGGCCTCATATATGGTTATCTCTCAGACAGGTGAGTGTCTCCAGATTAGGGCTGTCCTTACTCTGCAGTGATCATTTGTTCTCATCTCAGCTATTATTAGTTCTTTCATAAAGATTTGCTGAGTTCTAATATTCATTGTACACTGTTAAGGCTGCCTTGATCCTCAGAGAGCTGATACAGAAGTAAATTAGTATGGTGATTGTCTACATTGGGGAGTTAAAGGGATGGACAAATATTAACCTACCATTGCCAAACAGAAGCAAATGAGCATTTCTCAAGCATTTCCCCCTGGCTTATCCCTGTGATAACTCTAGGCCTATTCATCCTTTCTGGAATCTGTTTGTGCATTGAATATCCCAACTTTTACAACTTCCACCTCAGGTGGGACTGCTACCGTAGGAGGGCTTGCTTTGCTTAGCATTAAATCTTCCATATTCATTAACTTTGTATCAAATTTCAGGGTCTTATTGCTCAGCATCTTTTATCATAAGGGAAATGTGAATCAAAATCACAATGAGCTACCACTTAACCCCAGTTAGAATAGCTAAGATTTAAATAGAAAGAAAGAATGACAAGTGGGGTCAAGGCTGCAGTGAAAAGGGAACACTCCTACACTGTTGGTGAGAAGGTAAGTTAGTACGACCACTGTGGAGAGTAATATGGAGGTCCCTTAAAAACCTTAAAACCAGAACTACCATATGACCCAGTAGTTACACTCCTGAGTATTTACTCAAAGAATCGGAAAACAGTCAGAAAAACACTAGTACATTCATGTTTATTGCAGTATTATTCACAATTGCTATGACATGGACCCCACCCGAATGTCCAAGAATAGATGACTGGATTGAAAAAATGTGGCAAATATACACTATGGAATACTACTCAGTCATTAAAAAAAAAACATGCTGTATAATCTTTTTTTAATGTGTCTTTTAATTTGATTTGCTAGTATTTTGTTAAGGATTTTCGCAGCTCTGTTCATTAGGAGTATTATCACATAGTTTTCTTCTTTTATTATGCCCTGTCTACTTTTCATTTCAGGGTAATAGCAGCCTCATAAAAATGTTTGGGCAGATTATCTTCCTTGGATCTTTTGAAATGTTTTGAGAGGAACTGGTATTGGTTGTTTCTTAAAAGATTTATGTAAATCAGCAGTGAAGCTTTCCCGACCTGGGCTTTTCACTGTTGGGAGAGTTTCATTTCTTTACTTATTATTAGTTTGTTCAGGCTTTCTATACGTTCTTGATTCAAACTAGGTATGCTATATGTGGCCAGAAATTTGTCCATCTTGTCTAGATTTTCCACCTTGTTAGCATATAGTTGCTTGCAGTAACCCCTGATAAACTTTTGTATTTCTGTGATTTGTTGTAATGTCTCCTCTTTTATTTCTAAATTTTATTTCTCTGATCTCTCTCTTTTTCATAGTTAATATAGCTAATGGCTTATCAATTCTGTTTATGTTCTCAAAGAATCAGCTTTTCAATTCATTGTTTATTTCCTGTTTTACTCTTTTTTGTTCTCTATTTCATTTATATATGCTCTTAATTATTTTCCAGTTCCTTGAGATGCATTGTTAGGTTGTTTATTTGGAACATTTTCTTTTTTTCTATGAGCACTAATTATGATCATTTTCCCTCTTAGTGCTACTTTCTACTAATAGTTCTTAATCAGCTTCCAAGTCTTGTCAGAGGTGTAGTCTTCTGCTCAATGCTCGAGATGACCCTCCAGGAGGACCTGCAGCTCACAACCACTTTCTTGTAGGCCATAGAGCTGGTTGGCCTACTTCTAGTAGGGCAGCTTGGCACTTTGCCACCATCTTCATGCAGGTGACCATGTAATCCTACTGCTTGGCCTGTTCCCTCAGTTTGGCTTTCTTGAACAGTTCCATTTTCTTCGTGGTGCAGGGGAGAGCTGGGCGAGTTGGAAGAGCATTCACCAGGAGCTAAAGAGGTCTTCCTGGAGTGCAGTGGGAGACAGGCTGCAGAGAGGAGAACAAAAAGAAGGTTGGAGCTGGGATCAGACAAAAAGGTCTGTGCCTGTTGTCCTTTTTGTCTCAGGCACAAGCTGCAAGCGGCAAGGTTGAATTTCCCTTTCCTTTCCCCACCAGGCATGGGCAGGAAGATGCAAAGGACTTAGAACCAGGCACATGGAGACCAATCTAGGCCTGCTCTCTTGGCCTGCCTAAGAAGGAACCCACCATTGCCTCGTCTCACTTAACTTAATGTCCACCCATTTTTACCTCAAATGACAAGATTCCATTATTTTTAATGGTTTAATGGTTGATATATTCTGTCGCATATATCTACATATCCACTCATTTGTGTCGGACACTTAAGTTAATTCCATATCTTAGCGATTGTGAATGATTCTGCAATAAATATTGGGGTGCAGATATCTTTACGACATATAGATTGCCTTTTTTCAGGGTACAAGCCTATAGTGTTCATGGAGCAGTTCTATCTTTATTTTGACTAGTTATTATAGATGCTGTAATCTAATATGACTCTCTGTTTCTCAGGTTTGGGCGAAAGTTGGTTCTCCTATGCTCTTACCTCCAGATGAGCATTTGTGAGACCTCTACTGCCTTTGCTCCCACCTTCTCCATTTACTGCTCTCTACGCTTCTTGGCAGGCTTTTCTTCCACAGTCCTTTTGTCAAATGCTTGTATACTTGGTAAGTCAACAGTTTTGATCTGCATTATCCAGGCCTTGAATTTGATTTTGAAATTTCAGCTTTATCTAACTTGAATATCCTGGTGTTTATTTTAGCTTTAGAGTGGATAAGGACCCAGTCTAAACCCATGGTAATAGTACTAACAACCTGTGCCCTCAGTGTGGGGCAGATAATCCTGGGAGGCCTGGCCTTTGTCTTTCGAGAGTGGCGCACCCTGCAGCTGGTATTGTCTGTACCTTTATTTGCCTTCTTTCTCTTCTCAAGGTATGAACTTACTCTCTTACTTTATTTTATGGAGTCTAGGGATAGAAATAAATACCGAATCAGAACATATTGATTTTCTTATTCTCAAGTCTGGACCTAAACCTATTGTCCCACAAGTTAACTTTCTGAAATTGAAAAAACAAAATGGGAAGAAATAATAACTCTTCTCCTAGAAGTTCTATGTATTTTCTGCCATTTTTCTTTCCTTCTTTTTCTCAGGTTTTTGCCATAGGGAGAATTCATTCACCAAGGAGAGATGGAGACAGAGAGAGGGAAAGTGAGAAATCACCCAGTAAGGGGCACAGCCATGCCACAATCGTTTCTCCTCCATTCTCCTCCTGAGACTCTGGGTACACATGCATAGGCGCCCGTGATTTTCTTTTTTTTTTTTTTTAATATTATTTATTTATTTATTTAGTATGTTATTAATGAGTTTTTCCAAAGAAAGACAGAGAGAGTAAGAGAGAGAGAGTTAGAAAGCAAGGTCCGGGACTCAAACCGTGGTCAGCCATGTGGGAATTCCAGCACCTTAATCATCATATCACCTGATTTTCAAGCTGCTAGGTCTGGGACTCAAATTCTTGTTGGCCATGTGGGAGTCCAGCACCTTAACCACAACACTACCTGCTGGCTCCTTCTGCCACTTTCCTTAAACATTGCCCAGGATAGTGGATTCAGAATTATTTCAATATTGTTTTTCTTAATAAAAGTATCGACTCAAAATTTTCAAACAGAAATGTTCTTGATTCACCTTTGGTCATGGAATGAATTGGGCTATAGCAGAGTCTTCGTTCTTTTCATTCTTGCTGGTGAAATTGGATAAAAAGAAGCATCAAGTCTATTGACAAAAGAGCAGCAGAGTTTCTCCAGTACTAAAAACTGGCATGTAGATTAGGTCATTTATGTCATGTGTTCAGCATTTCCTCTTCCCTTAAATATTTTCTTTTCCTAGAAGGTGTGTGCACATACCAGAGAGAGACAAAGAAGACAGACAGAGTGAAATGGAGAGGAAAAAGCAAGCCCCCTATGGGGAATTGTTTTGCCACAATTCCTTCTCTTTTCTGCCTCCCTCCTTTCAGGATTTTGGGCATGCACATACATGTACTCAATGTGTTTTTCTTTCTTTTTTTAAGAGTTGGTTTTTTTTTTTTTTTTTTACTATAGGGTGCATGTGCTCACTGGAGCGTCTAAGAGGGACAGAGAGACAGAAAGTGAGAAATCACAACCTCCCCCCCACTCCACCCAAGGGCCATGCTGCAATTCTTTCTCCTCCATTCTCCTCTAGGAGATTTTGGGCAACCACCCACACATGCCTGACCTAAGTTTCAAGCCAATTCGTCCCGCACTCAAACCATGGTCAACTACGTGTGAACCTACCGATGTAACCATTATGCCATCTCCTGGTCCCCCCAATGTGTTTTTCAAGCTGCTGAGTCCAGGATTTGAACTGTGCAATCAGCCATGTTGGATCCAGCTGATATAACAACTAAGCCATGGAGCCAGCCCCTTCCCTTAAATAATTTTAAAAAGCATATATTTTTGGCTAACTTTATCCTTACACTTAAAACCAATCTAAGGGAAAATAAGAATAGTTAGAAATCAATGAGTGACAGAGATTACTAAAGATTTAATATGGTGAGATGAATATTGATCAAGAGGATTGTGTAATTTATGTCAAACTTACCTATTACCCCATTTTATCCTTATAAAATCCCTACAAGGAAGATGGCTCTACTGACCCCATTATATTGTTGAAGAAACTGAGGCAGATGTAAATAAATGACTCACTTGTACCAGCATAACTGGTAATTCTGAGAGTATGTCCAACCTTTGAGCAGCTTTAAGTTTACAGCATTTGGAGACTTTTTTTCCCTCAAAAGAATACATATTATAAATACAAGTTTGCTAGAACCCATGTCATATTTTGAAAAGGAATATTTATGTAAGAATCTCTCAAGCATAAGCTCCATAAGCTTCTTAGAAAACCTCCCTCTGATCAAGCAGGGAGGTGATTTGAATCCAAAAATCTCTGTTTCTAACCATGAAGGTGTATTGTATGGAATGGTAAACCACGTATTTCCCTAATATTTGCATAATGAAATAGGAGTATCATTCCTAACTCAGTAAGAAGCGTGTGACAGATGATAGGAAAAAGGCACCTGTCACCAATAATCATGTCTAACAAGCAAGAAAGAGATAACTACACTTGTGTGTTCTTTTATGAGGTGGCAGGTGGAATCTGCTCGGTGGCTGATTATCACAAATAAACCAGACAAGAGTTTAAAGGCACTTAAAAAAGTTGCACACATAAATGGAATGAAGAATGCTGAAGGAACCTTAAACATAGAGGTGAGGAGGAACAGGAAGGTGGTTACTGAATGGAGAGAAGACATAAGCTGACATCTACCTTCTCCTTATTGAGATAGAAAAACTACTTTCCTACAAGGGCAGTTAACTGAGAATGAAAGTGCAGTTCACCAGCTTTTCATGGCCATTTCATATAAAAGAAGCATTTGACACTGAAAACTACCTTTTCCTGTGGGTTGTTACTTCCTTATCTGAATCCATAGCCTATGCTCTACTGTAAATACCTTATGGCCTTGCATATCAAGGTCTATGACCTTGTTTTAAAAATGTCTGTATTGCTCCATAATTCCTTAAGACACCTTTAACTTTTTCTACGTTTTCCTTTATCTTGTTTTAACGTTTGCATGTAAAGTTCGTTGCACTGTCCTTGTCCTGTTGAGTGTCAATGTTCACCATGATGCCTGGGATCATGTTGGTAAACCAAACATGTTTGTTGTTGAAGGTTGTAAGATCTATCATGCAAAAAGAGCTGGATGCAGCACGGACCAAAACTAATATGTGGGACTTTTTCAGCACACCCAATATGCGTAAAAGGACCTGTCTCATATCCTTTATGAGGTGAGTACTTAAGGAACATTAAAAGGCTGGAAATACGAATCTTTCTTATTGCAAAGGTTACAACACTGTTGTGTGTGGCCTGATTTGTAGAAAAGAGATGAAGAAACTGTACAGATAATTGCTGTTTAGAGGTAGAAAGAAGGCTATATAGAGTCAAATGGATTAATTATACTATGAGGAATTAATTATGCTACTCTACTGGTCTCATTCCTGGAGTTTAATACTGAAAATTTCCAACATGCTAGACTTTGACATTTAATTTTTTTCAGTTTTTTCTTTCAATTTTACTTGAAACAAATCTTAGAAATAGTAATGTGCACAGATCATAAATGTGCACAGCTCCATGATTATTTTAATATGTAAAAATGTAAACAATACTCAGATTAAGATATAGAAAACTCTGATTCTTTGGAAGCCTTCCTTGTGTAACCATCATCGTTGCCTCCACTCTCCTCCCTCTACAAAATAAAACTTAAGGACTTTTCTAACCTCCATTACTATGCAGAACTGTCACCTGATTTTGACCTTCACATAATGTTAAATATTAAATGGTGAATGGGTCCTTTTTCTTAACATTATTCATTCAAGACTCATTCATTTTGTTGCACTAGTAGCAGGTTGTTCTCCTTAGTGTTTTAGTATTCCATTAGGTGAACACACCATAATTTCTTTTTTAATTTATTGCCAAAAGACACGCATACACATGCACTCACATGAGAGAGACAGAGAGGACCTCATGCCACAGTCCTTTTCTTTCCATTTGTATAACCCATCAGAATCTGGGCATACAATATCACAATTGATAAGTTTTTCAAGTTAAGATTCTAACTGTAATTGGCCATGAGGGACCTGGCTTCTCATGACAGCACTTCTTGCTATGTATGTGGATAGTCCTACAATTTATCTACTTCAATATTGGTGGATTTTTATTTGTTTCCAATTTGGGGTTTTAGCACAAGGGCTTCCATAGACAATCTTGTATGTTATCTCTCAGGTGTTATAAATAGGGTCAGGAGATAAAATTTAATTTTAATTCTGAATTGTTAAAGACACAGAAAGTGTACAGAACAATATACACCCACTGCCAAACTTAAGTAACTATTGAATTGTATTTTACTCTCTCTAGGCATATCCTAGGATACTATTGAATTGTTCCATCTCTCTTGGGTCCCCGAGGTCACAGACTCAGGTTTCTCAATTCTAGAGAGAGTGGGAGGAGAAAGTAAAGATAATTGTCAGGGAAGGACTTGTTTGGAATTACTGTGATATGTGATGGCTGCTTCCATCTATAGTTAGCATTCTGTGGCTGTGGTGGATCATCAAAGTGGGGTTCTTTCCCTTAGATGCTTTCTGGGTAAATTGAAGTTCCCCAGAAGGAACCTTTGGTTTTATTTCCTATAGAGCAGTTAGAATATATGTGTTTACCTGAATTTTCATTTAGCCCCAGGAATAAGATTTGAACTTTTAAAAAAACAAAACCAATAAACAACTTGTGTGTTCTTGAGAGAGAGAGAGAGACACACAGAGAGAGAGAGAGGACAAGAAAGCTCCCTCAGTGGCAAACTGACCTACTGCAATACCTTTATTTCCATCTCTCCTTTCTTTCAGGATTTTGGACATGCATGTACATGTACCTGGCATGTCTCTCAAACTGCAGGGTCTAGGACTTGAACCACATAGTTGGCCATGGGGTCTCCAGCTGCCCAACCACCAGGCCATGGGCTGGCCCAATGAGAAGCTTTTTAGTGAGGAACATTCTCCACAGGCACCCTCTGGGCAAGGATTAAAGTGGATTCTGATCAGTTCTTGCTTTCACAGTTTCCACACCTGGTAGACGAGAAAAGTACATGCATCCTTGACCTTGTGTCCATTTAATGTATTTAGTCACTAATCATTTTCTCTGTCTCTGCTTTGACTCTTCAGGAGATAACCACTGCTTCTCAACTCAAACTTCTTAGGATTGTGTTAGGATACTGTGCTTCAAGATTGAGACGACACATGTAGTCTCCTTGGAGCCTTAATCTCTAGCAAGGGAAAATTTTTCATAGTAGTGAGATTGTGAGCAAGATAGGGAGAACTCATACTATACTGACAACTCTCAGAACTTCTCTGGCTAAGTTCAGTGTCTATATACCATCTGGCTAGATGACTGGGTCAGTATTAGACAGTTAGATGACTGTCATTGACACCTATATGCTTGAGGGCTCAAACAACGGAATGATAGGGGTCTCAATCTTATATTTTGCCATCCTATTATTTATGATAATTTTAAGAACACCATCTTAAAATTAAGTACTCTAACAAGTCAGACTCAGCCTTCATTCTTTTTAAAAACTTTAAAAATATTCTATGTAACTTTATTTATTTCCTTATTTTAATTTCATCAGAGAGGGACAGAGAAGGGGAGGGAGGGAGAGAGAGAAAGAGAGAGAGAATGAAAGCCACCATATCCAGGATTCAAACTGAGATCAGCCATGTGGAAATCCAGTGCCCTTTACCACAACATCTCCTGCCATCCCCAAGACTCAGCCTTTATTCTTTAATACTGACCAATGACAGCCTGGGCCATTAACTAGAAAACAAACTCTAAGTTGTATGACGTCCCCCTTTCCTATTTTTTTTTCTCTACAGATTTGCAAATGCAGTATCCTTTTATGGCATCACATTGAATCTTCAGCACTTGGGGAGCAATATTTTCTTGTTACAGGTACTTTTTGGAGTGCTCACCTTATCAGCACGATTTCTTGCACTTTTTGCAATGACTTATATGAGCCGTCGAGTAAGCGAGATGTTGTTCATGCTCCTGGCGGGACTTTCCATTTTAGTCAACACATATGTGCCCCAAGGTGAGAGAAGACTGGACTTTGGGGAAAGGAAGTGTCTTTTCCCCAATTCTCAGGGATTGTATTGGTCACACTTACCTAAAGGCAGGAATAAGAGGGCTGCCAAATTAAGGGCTAAGTATTCCTTGAAACCAATCTGAGGTTTTTAGGCCAAGTTCTGCTAATGAAATGTTGCGGAAAAAGCCAAAGGTCAGCAAGAGGCAGCTCAGACATATATTTATCTTCATCACAGTCTGGAAGTGTCTGAAAACTGGTTCCATTTATTTCTGACAGGTTCTTTTAGACAGCTTGCTCTTTGGTTAATATTATATATATATATATATAATATACTCCCCCGCCCTATTAGGGTTTTTGCCATAGGGTGCATGAGCTCGCCAGAAAGAGACAGAGAGAGGGAAAGTAAGAAATCACCCCCTGGGGGGATGGCCATGTTGCAATCCTTTCTTCTCCATTCTTCTCTTGGAATTTTGGGCATGTATGCATATATGCCCTGAGTAAGTTTCAACCTGCTGGGTCCAGAGTGTGAACTGTAGTTGGCCATGTCCTGATCCAGCGCTCAGCCACTATACCATCTGTTGGTTCCAATCACATATATATTTTCATTGCCACAGGGTGTGTTTGTTTGCCAGAGAGAAAGAGAGAGAGGAAAGAGCCCCCGACACACACAATGGAGTGTGTGCATACTGCAATCCTTTTTCCTCTGTTTCTATGTCCCATCAGGATTTTGAGCACACATGCACATGTGCTCAAGTAGCTAGGACTGGAATTCAAATCATGTGGGATCTGGCATCATATACACAGTGCTTAACCACTGCACTACCTGGCTGGCCTCAGTTACATTTTTAATAACATGCACGGAATATTGAGGCTTTGAAATGGTATTCCATTTGAAGACACATTATGGTCACTTCCTTTATGTGGGCTCTGTCTGTTCTTGTTCTTATTATTGCATCTAGCCACAAGAGGGTGAGGATAAGTTAGCATGGCAGTAGCCCTTAATTAAGGGGAATTTTCCCGACTTCATGGAGATAAAAATAATTTGTTTTCAAGCAGAGAAGGAGTGTACAGTAGCAGCAAGGTATTAAGCAGATTAAAAGCCTATTTCACTCACTGTTAGATTATTTTATAACTAACAGAATGATTATATGTTAATTCTGGTAGTGTAAAAACATCTGTGCTTCAGGATTCGATGAACTGTTGGGAAGCATCTTCAGCATCCTGCTATTTGTAGAAGGGTTTTCCATGCAAAACATTGTTAAGATGCTTGAAGAAGGGGTGGCCTGTTGGCAAGAGGTCAGTGAAGATGGCAGATGAGGCAAAACTTCATCGAATCCCAAAGCATAAATTTTTACGCTACAGGAATAAATAAACTTATTTCTTGGTGGCAAAAATGGTTCCTATTTTGATTAATAAAGGTATGTTTGAGTCTAGTTTAAATGATTTAAAATTCATGGTCCAAAACCTCAATTACTTTTGCACCAACCTGTGTCCAGAAATGTATATTTTGAAAGATTAAAAAAAAAAAAGATAGAATCCTGTGGAGTTTGTTACCCTAGTGCTTATGTATGCCAGAAAAGGTGACTTGCTCTCTGTATTGAGGGCTCATGTTATGATTGGATTTTTTTTTTTTAAATTCTGAGCACACAGAGCTCACAAGTCTTTGGCATCCACTTCAAATTATGCACAGGGTTATCTTATAACTGGAAACTATCCAATGGTTCCTGCCCCACCCCCAGTGAGTGAATGAAAGGGTCAAGGAAGGGATGGAAACAGACCATTGTAGGGATCATTGGTTGCCTGATGTTTTTCTTACTGAGTTTTAAAAATCACCATTTATAATTAGTGTCATAGCTCTCCATTGATTTACTGCCCTTGTGATATTAATAACTCAATGACCTCCTCTGATTAAAACATTTATAGCTTTTGCTTCTTTTCAAATCCTCTGTTCAACTAACACAATGTCCTGGGAGTTTTTCCCCAAATATGTCGCTGCCTGCATTTCCATACTTACCCTGTTTCATCCTTTTTTCTCTTCTCACTTTCGGGGAATAAAATGAATTTGAAAATAAATTTTAAAAAATATTTCCTTCATTGGTTCATGGGCCTCATTATGTTACTTTCTGATGAATCTATGAGTTTTTTATATATGAGCAATGGGAAAAAATGAATTAAATAAAATTTTTAACCCTCTCAAACATTTTACAGTTGTGAGATTCTTCTTCCTGTGTGTGAGCTCTTCCCATTGTGCACCCTACGGCCGTTTCCCTGCTGTGGTCAATTGGGTCCTCAGGCTCATATCAGTCTCCCCAAGATATTCTGCAGTCATTATCACCTCTTTGCATGGACTTTATTTTGTTTTTATTTTTTAAAATAACTTTTTAAACTTCGTGCATATTTGCTTGGGATAGAGTTTGTGTAACTTACCAATCCTATCGATTGTATGTGATTGTGCCCTACAGAGGTACGTTAAGCAAGACAAAAATCATCATAGTTAATAAAGGAGCCCATGAGATTTTTGTCAGATTAAAAGTCACTTATGAAAATACTACTTTTGGATAGTAAGAATTTCAATCTGTTATCCTTAAAAATGAGTGCTAGACAAAAATACCATTTTTTTTTTTAGAGATTTTCACTGTAGGGCGCGTGCGCTCGCCAGACAGACAGAGAGAGACATAGAGACAGAAAGCGAGAAATCACCCCCCAGGGGGGATGGTCACGCCGCAATCCCTTCTCCTCCATTCTCCTCTCGGGATCTTGGGCACGCAAGCACACGCACCCGGCGTGAGTTTTAAGCCACCGGGTCCGGGACACGAACCGCAGTCGACTACGTGGGAGTCCAGCGACATAGCCATTACGCTAACTGCTGGTTCCCAAAAATACCATTTTTTAAAAGTTGTCTTGCATTCCTGTTTTATTCATTGCATCAGTTCCCTGTTATTTCTTGCCTGTCTCTACCCATGTACTCAGAAATTTTAAAAAAATTTTGAGCCTTAAAATGATAGCTGGTTTTTATTTTTTAAAGAATTATTTATTTTGTTTAATTTGTTATTATTTATTTTGTTATAGGACATGTGCACTCATGAGAGACAAAGAAAGAGAGAGAAAGTGAGAAAGCAAGCTGCCAGGTCTGAGATTCAAACCACTGTCAGCTATGTGGAAGTCCAGCACCTTAACCACAGGCAACCTGGCAGCACCAATAGCTGATGTTTAAATTGCTAAAGTTTGTGAAGTGTTGTGTTTCCAACTTTAAAAAGAAGTGATAATGAGGACCAGCAGTTAGCGTAATGGCTATATCACTGGACTCCCATGTAGTCGACCGCGGTTCACGTCCCGGACCCGGTGGCTTAAACTCATGCCGGGTGCGTGTGCGTGCGTGCCCAAGATCCCAAGAGGAGAACGGAGGAGAAGGGATTGCAGCATGGCCATTCCCCCTGGGGGGTGATTTCTCACTTTCTATCTCTCTGTCTCTCTTGTCTTTCTGGTGAGTGCACGCGCCCTATAGCAAAAACCTCTCCAAAAAAAAAAAAAAAAAGAAGTGATCATGAAAAATGGGCTGGAATTTCACAAGATGTGAATTATGCTTAGCACCTGGCAATCCTTTTTAATCTGTTACTTCCAATTTTCAAAGTAGCCTTCAAAATAAGGTGGAAAAAGAAATAGTAAGAAGATGTTTAGGGCATCAGAACTCTAGATCTGAATAAATTAGTCTACTCCTTGCAGATTTTTGAGAGGATTAAGGCTATCTTTTTCTATTTTGTATTATTTGTGTGCATATTGCTTATATCAAAGATGCCACATATTAAACTGTTATTTCCTGGGGCCAGCAGGTGGCATGGTGGTTAAGGCGCTGGACTCCTACATGGCCAACCATGTTTGAGTTCTGGACCTGGCAACTTGAAAATCACACTGGGCATGTGTATGTGCATGTCCCAAATCTTGAAAGGAGAATGGAAGAGAAGTGATTGTAGGACGGCCATTCCTCCTGGGGTGATTTCTCACTTTCCTTCTCTCTGTCTCTGGTGAGTGTATGCACCCTATTGCAAAGCCTTTAAAAAAAAAAAAAGTCATTTTCTTTCTCTACTGACTCATGTTGCTATTGCTCCTAATTAGTGTTTAAGGTTCCCATGAGTTGCAGATAAAAAAATTTTATTTGAACAAGTAGAAGGAGGTTATTCACCTTTTGGATTGTAACTATATGAATGTCTACAAGACCTTTATCTCCATTCTGTTAGCATTTATATTAAATGATACCTTAATGAGGAAAAAAAAGTATTATATGTACTGGTTAGGGAAATCTTACCATTCTTTCCTTTCCTTTTTCCTTTTTTTTTTTTTTTTTTTTTTTTTTTTTTTTTTTTTTTTTTTTTGAGAGATTTTGCTATAGGGCATGTGTGCTGACCAGAAAGACAGAGAGAGACAGAGAGACAGAAAGCAAGAAATCACCCCCCCAGGAGGTATGGTCATGCCACAATCCCTTCTCCTCAATTCTCCTCTTGGGATTTGGGCAGGCACACACACTTGCCCAGCATGAATTTAAGCCACCAGGTCCAGGACTCAAACCATGGTCAACTACATGGAAGTCCAGCAACATAGCCATCACTCCAACTGCTGGTCCCAATGTGAGCATTATTTCTTACCGGCCAGTCAATATGGAATGTACTTCTGAATACAGGGACGTTACAATATTACAGATGTGTAGGCTTTACTCCTCTTCTTTAATATATCAGTGATGCACATTTCCTACCTAATTGCAAGATACTTTAAGATATTATAAAACTATTGTTAGACTTCTGCGTTAGACAAAAACCATTCTCTGAAACTTCAATTTAGTAGATCCCAAATTCTTTTTTCCCCAAATAGAGGTTCTCATTCTTGGTTTTGTATAACTGTCACGGCTCTACATTGTGCTTCTCTGTACCCTTTTCACTAACAAAGAAGACTTGTATATCTATTCCCATGATAATAATGTATCTGTATTAGGTTGACTGACTCATTCAAGTTTACTTGGAAATTTCTTGGTTTTATCCTTTAAAATTTCATATTGTTATAATACCTTCATCTTCGAGAAAACCAGGGGGGCTGGTCATTTTTAATTCTGTACTTTAATTGTGAAGTCCTCAAATTTAGGGCTGAGTCTTAGACTCCTTAGTAACTGTCCACATGATATTTCTACCTTTTACAGAAAGGGTACAAAAACTTGGACAGAATAACAGCAAATTTTTGCTGGACTTACTTTTTCTTATTCCTCTCCAGCAAATATCAGATAGGCAGAGAGACTGACCACAATTAATCCGGATAGTTTTATGCACTTTTGTCTCCTTGTTAACAATTCTACATTACTTAGTTTATCAATCCACAGTCTCTGCTACTGTGCAATTTTCTACAGTACATATTAAACACGTAAATAAACTATAGGGTTTTTTTTTCTGAATAAATGTTATGGGTGTTGATTCATTTATCCAAAATTCTGAAGTCTCTCTGTCTCCTTCCTGTCTCCAGAAATGCAGACCGTGCGCACAGTGTCCAAAAAAAAAAAAAAAAAGAAGTGATCATGAAAAATGGGCTGGAATTTCACAAGATGTGAATTATGCTTAGCACCTGGCAATCCTTTTTAATCTGTTACTTCCAATTTTCAAAGTAGCCTTCAAAATAAGGTGGAAAAAGAAATAGTAAGAAGATGTTTAGGGCATCAGAACTCTAGATCTGAATAAATTAGTCTACTCCTTGCAGATTTTTGAGAGGATTAAGGCTATCTTTTTCTATTTTGTATTATTTGTGTGCATATTGCTTATATCAAAGATGCCACATATTAAACTGTTATTTCCTGGGGCCAGCAGGTGGCATGGTGGTTAAGGCGCTGGACTCCTACATGGCCAACCATGTTTGAGTTCTGGACCTGGCAACTTGAAAATCACACTGGGCATGTGTATGTGCATGTCCCAAATCTTGAAAGGAGAATGGAAGAGAAGTGATTGTAGGACGGCCATTCCTCCTGGGGTGATTTCTCACTTTCCTTCTCTCTGTCTCTGGTGAGTGTATGCACCCTATTGCAAAGCCTTTAAAAAAAAAAAAAGTCATTTTCTTTCTCTACTGACTCATGTTGCTATTGCTCCTAATTAGTGTTTAAGGTTCCCATGAGTTGCAGATAAAAAAATTTTATTTGAACAAGTAGAAGGAGGTTATTCACCTTTTGGATTGTAACTATATGAATGTCTACAAGACCTTTATCTCCATTCTGTTAGCATTTATATTAAATGATACCTTAATGAGGAAAAAAAAGTATTATATGTACTGGTTAGGGAAATCTTACCATTCTTTCCTTTCCTTTTCTTTTCTTTCTTTTTTTTTTTTTTTTTTTTTTTTTTGAGAGATTTTGCTATAGGGCATGTGTGCTGACCAGAAAGACAGAGAGAGACAGAGAGACAGAAAGCAAGAAATCACCCCCCCAGGAGGTATGGTCATGCCACAATCCCTTCTCCTCAATTCTCCTCTTGGGATTTGGGCAGGCACACACACGTGCCCAGCATGAATTTAAGCCACCAGGTCCAGGACTCAAACCATGGTCAACTACATGGAAGTCCAGCAACATAGCCATCACTCCAACTGCTGGTCCCAATGTGAGCATTATTTCTTACCGGCCAGTCAATATGGAATGTACTTCTGAATACAGGGACGTTACAATATTACAGATGTGTAGGCTTTACTCCTCTTCTTTAATATATCAGTGATGCACATTTCCTACCTAATTGCAAGATACTTTAAGATATTATAAAACTATTGTTAGACTTCTGCGTTAGACAAAAACAATTCTCTGAAACTTCAATTTAGTAGATCCCAAATTCTTTTTTCCCCAAATAGAGGTTCTCATTCTTGGTTTTGTATAACTGTCACTGCTCTACATTGTGCTTCTCTGTACCCTTTTCACTAACAAAGAAGACTTGTATATCTATTCCCATGATAATAATGTATCTGTATTAGGTTGACTGACTCATTCAAGTTTACTTGGAAATTTCTTGGTTTTATCCTTTAAAATTTCATATTGTTATAATACCTTCATCTTCGAGAAAACCAGGGGGGCTGGTCATTTTTAATTCTGTACTTTAATTGTGAAGTCCTCAAATTTAGGGCTGAGTCTTAGACTCCTTAGTAACTGTCCACATGATATTTCTACCTTTTACAGAAAGGGTACAAAAACTTGGACAGAATAACAGCAAATTTTTGCTGGACTTACTTTTTCTTATTCCTCTCCAGCAAATATCAGATAGGCAGAGAGACTGACCACAATTAATCCGGATAGTTTTATGCACTTTTGTCTCCTTGTTAACAATTCTACATTACTTAGTTTATCAATCCACAGTCTCTGCTACTGTGCAATTTTCTACAGTACATATTAAACACGTAAATAAACTATAGGGTTTTTTTTTCTGAATAAATGTTATGGGTGTTGATTCATTTATCCAAAATTCTGAAGTCTCTCTGTCTCCTTCCTGTCTCCAGAAATGCAGACCGTGCGCACAGTGTTGGCAAGTGTGGGAATCACCTTTACTGCTGCTGCTTCCGCTATTATTACTCTCCATTTCGTGGAACTCTTTCTTTATAATACTAATCATACACTAACAAAAGCTGTAACCAATGTTTATCGAAAGCTGACTTCGTGGCATGTGAGTGCTAAGCAGTTTTAATGCATCATTTCATTAACCTCACACAGCACTCCTCAGGTGGTGTAAAATGATGAAACTGGGCCTTGATTCACTTTGAGCCTGACCAAAACAGTTAAAAAATCAGAGAGAAAAATCTCAAAATAAGGTGTTTGCTCATATATCTAAGGATCTTGCTTTATTTTCTTTTATACTCAAGTAATAAAGTGTCTCAGTGTAGATTTTCTACCTGCTTATTAAGAATTGTTATTTATTCCCCCAGGGGAAAAGCTGCAGGATTAGAATTCCTGGCTAGTAGAACTGGGGGAGCACTGGCTCCCCTCTTGATGGCTCTAACGATATATTTTACCACTTTGCCCTGGATCATCTATGGAGTCTTCCCTATCATTGCTGGTCTTTCTGTCTTCTTCCTACCTGAAACTAAGGATCTGCCTCTGATTGACACTATCCAGGATGTGGAAAATGAGTGAGTGAACCTTCCTGCCATCCTCTGGGAGGAGTCCTGTGCCTTACATCTGTGATGAGAAAGGCGAAAGATCATGTGGTTCCTTGATATTGTTATGTAGACTCAGCCTTTCCTGGGTTATTTTCACTTGAGCCAGTGCCTTTGGTTAGAGACAGGGCCATCTTTATCGATTGTGAGTGATGGTTCTAAACTGCAGAGACCTCTTCAACCCAGGCTTCATTGGTAGTTTCAGTGGTAAAGAAACAAAACTTAGCTCTGTTGTGATGGTACGTACTACAGGCCCTCTTAAGGATACACCTTCACAATGGTAGTTATTCTCAGATCCATAAGACCTGAGAAATGGTGGGGAAGGAAGTAAGATAGTGTAGAAAAACCATCAGGAATATCACATAAATACCCCCCCTTGAAAAGATTACAAAGGAAGTACATTCTACTTAGTTGCCTGAGATTCAGTCAATCTTACTGCCATAAGTAGATTGAGGATAGAGAAATTAAGAAACTAGGTATTTTTAAATAAGAAACATAGCATATTAGTTTTTAGATCTTCCCTAATGAAGTTCTACAAACTGAGTAAAACAAAAAACCAAAAACCAAAACAAAAAAAACTCAGAAAATTAATATCTCACAGTTCTGGAGGCCCAAAGTCTGAGATCAAGTTGTTATAAGAGTCATGGTCTCTCTGAAAGCTCTAGGGGAAGAATCTGTTCCAGGCCTCTTTTTTCTCATGGTTCCTTAAGTGTGGTAGCATAACTCCAATCATCATATGGTATTTTCCCTGTGTGTGTCTCTATGTCCAAATTTCCCCCTTCCACAAGGGCACCAGTTATATTGCAGACTCACCATACTCTAGTATAATTTCATCTTAATTAATTTTATCTTCAGCACCCCCATTTCTGAATATGGTCATATCCTGAAGTTCTTAGAGTTAAGACTTTAACATATGGCTTTTGGGGGGATATACAATGCAATCCATAACTAATGATGAGTTCTCTTAGGATTTTCAGTCTACTTCCTGAATTCTTAAAAATGTTATTGGTCTAAAGTCTAGAGAGTCCAAATAATAGTAGCAATTTTTTAAACTGCCTTCTTGAATCTGTACAGGCAACAGGGGTTTTTACAGAATGAATCTTAATCCATAAGAGATATTGATTGATAAGAAGCAGATGGTCAAAAGATCAACTTGACACGCTGCATGGAGAACATACAAAGTTATCACTATTATTATTCTGGTTTATTTATTTATTTAGACTCCCAGTAGGGTCTTGCCATGCTACCCTTCTTCCTCTATATTACAGTCCATCACGATTATGGACACACTTACTGGTATGCTCTGTGTGTTTATGTCACCCAGGGATTCAAACAGCAGGCTTTCCCAATATTGGAGATGGCTCCAATATTGTGTAGTGGCACCCTATCACCATGACTGAGTCCAAAGTTATGTTGATCCTTTCTATTTTATTAATGTTTGTTTTTGCTTTTTGGTTGATTGGTTGCTTCTGTTTTATTTTTTCAGTGAAAAAATCTCAAGAAAAACAAAGGAAAAAGGTTCCTACAAGAAAGTAACCAAATTTTAAAGAATTTTCATGATTGGTAAGAAACATGAAAAAAACAAAACAAAACAAAAAAACCAAGAGCTGTTCTGTATATTTACAAACCAGCAAGAATACATAGTAGAGAAATGAATCCCAATTATAATTGTGGCTTTAATTTGTGATTAAACACTAATTTGTAGGGGTATGTAATTCCTTCCAGTATTTTTGGACATTAATTGAAAAAGTTTCAAATTTATCAGTAAATTGCTAGTAGACAAGATGATTCCTAAATAAAGGAAAGCCATGGAATTGTAATGTGGCTACCTGGTGCACTGAGCAGAAGATAGCAACCTCCATCACTAAGCTGCAAAAATCAGAAGCTGCAAAATCAGAACAGTGTACTGTATACAACTAGAAGTCAAAAGAAGTCTACAGCAAAGACCAGTCTATATGCACTTAATATATACTTTGATAAATTATGTCACTGGGAAATAGAAAAATTATGTATGTAACAAGGCTATTTAGCTCTTTGTAAATACATTCACTAAAATAATAACAATGGCAACATTTTGATAGTAACTTTTAAATGACTCTTACTTATTCTTTGCTATCTTCTTTCCATATTTTAAACCATCATTATGCATAATTTAGAGTATTGTAAAGATATTGCCAAAATTGTAGGACAAATCTAAGATATGTAATTTTTAATTTTCAAATATACATACATTTAATCAAATCATTGTAAACAAAAAATTATATTCCAAATGATGTGGCTAATTAGTATGTGAAATCTAAGAGTGGGATAATACAAGATAAACCTACTTAAATAATACAAGATAAATCCACTTAAATGAAAGCTTTCATTTTCAAACTGCAAAGATTTAAAGTGCTAATGACTCTCTGGTTAGCAGGTGGCATAGAGGTTAAACTACTAGATCTCACATAGCCAGTTCTGTAGTTTGAGTCTTGGACCCAGAGGTTTGAAAATCGCCAGGCGCTTGTGCATACATGTCCAAAATCCTGAGAAGAGAATGGAGAAGGGATTGCAGTATGGTCCTTCTGTGGGTGATTTCTCACTTTCCCTCTCTCTTTCTCTCTGTCTCTCTCTGGTAAGGAAAAAAAAAACAAAGATTACTTTAAAAATAAAAAGAAGAATTTACATGGGAAATAGAAAATAAATTCAAATAAGTGAAAATGAAAACACATATACCAAAACTTATGATAGGGAGGCATGAGAGCCATGGGAGGCATGAAAGCCATCTTCAGAGGTGCACTGATGGCAAGAAATAAATATAATAAAAAGGAAGCCAGCACAAACAAATAATTTAATCTCCAATCATTTGATTTTGAAATATGACATAAAACTAAGTTCAAATCAACCATTGAAAATATATAGAGATTAATGCAAAATAAAAGAGAAAGATTATAGAAAAACAACAGGAAAAAAATAAATGAAACCAAGTTTGTTCTTGGAAAGATGAACAAAATTAGAGAAAAGAACTTGAGGTAGTCTAACAAAGAAAATATGAGATTTGATTTTTCTAAAACCATAAATAAAAGAGAAGATATAGGTAATACTTTGGAAGTATTGTATGCCAAGAAATAATTTAATGAAATGGACAGATTTCTCACTCACAGTGTACAGTACAAAAGAATTCACAGAAATGTCAGAAAAAGAATTCTGAACATTTATAGTGACGAAACTCAATGAGATGCAAGAGAAAATAGGCAATCAGTTCCAAGAGATAAGAAAATCATTCCAGGACATGAATGAGGAATCCCATAGAGAAAGAGACAACCTAAGAAAGAATCAAACAGAACTTCTGGAAATGAAGAATCCAATAGAAAAAAATTAAATCTCTCTAGAAAGCATTAACAGCAGATTGAACCATGTGCAAGAAAGAATTTCTGCCCTTGAAAACAAGTATCCAAGATAGACCAAACCAACAAAAAGAATGAAAAAATAACCCCCCCCCCAAAAGGCAGACAACATATTGGAAATTTTAGACACTATGAAATGCTCAAATATTTATATAATGGGTATCCAGAAGGTAAAGATGCTGGTAAAGGCATGGAAAAATTCTTTAATGAAATACTATCCTAAAACTTTCCAAACCTATTGAAACATAGGGTCCCCAAAATAAAAAGACCCCCAAACAGAATCAACATAAAAAAATCTCACCTCCCCTCCCCCTCCACTCCCACATATCATAGCCAGCCAGTTAGGTAAAAATCGAAGACAAAGACGATATTCTAAAATAGTAAGAGAGATATGTTATTCATAAAGTTTATCCTATAACCTCTCAACTGAAACAATGAAGGTAAGGAAAAAATTGAAAGACATTCAAAACATTAAAAGAAAAACAGTTTCAACCAAGAATACTCTATCCGGCAAGATTATCGTTCAAATGGGAAGAACAAATAAAATCATTCTCAGATAAACAAAACCCAAAAGAATTCATCAATACTAGGCCAGCTCCGCAAGAAGTACTGAAGGGAGTATTTTATCAGGAAAACTAAAAAAATACAAACAGAAACAAAAGAACAGAGAACACCCTGGAAAGAGTTCACTATGAGCCCTGTCTTGGGCGCCCCGCGACCGGGCTATTCTGGCTCTGAGGCTCCTGGGCTGGGCTTTCCGGAGTCTGCATTGGCTGCCGGTTGCCCAGCTCTGTCCCTTGGCATGCAGGAGGAAGAGGACGAACTGAACCGCCAGATTGAGTTTTCATCCAGCAGAATCAGCCCATTCCGCTAGACCAGGGAGCGTTCCCTGCGCAGGGAGCAGCTGCAGCCTTTTGGATTTGATAGTGTGTGTGACCCTTTCTGACCTGGCTGCATTGCGTCCTTAGCACCAAAGGACTCTGGTGCCACTTAGTCGCGTGGCTGCATTGAGGCGAAGTGGAAAGTCAGCAGATAGGAATCTCCTCCTCGCTGCTTGCTGCCCAATGCTTGCTGCCCAGTGCTGATGTCCAAAAGACTTTCAAAATTTGTAAAAATGTCCTAGCCACACCAAGTGTCTCAGGATCTGTGATGTCTTTGGGCAGGGCTGTAGTGTTTCCTAAGCAGTTCTGGCGACACTTGTAAGCCAGTTCATTTTGCCGGTTATTTGCTTTCCAAAATGGTAACTGTCAAAACTGTTAAAACTTTATTTCTTTATGTTAATGCTGCATGCTTTATTTTTTTCTTATTTTAAATTTATTTATTTTACATTCATTCACTTTACATTATCACAGCATACAAAATGCAATTTCCCATCTGAATGTGGTGTAACTAAGGTTGATTGATGTGGAGTTAATCTGATAAAATGCATTGAGTTAAATAAAAAATGTATTTTAGCTCTTTCAGGCATCTTTCTTTGCCACCATAATGATGCACATGAATGTCCTGGCTGATGCCCTTAAGAGCATCAGCAATGCTGAAAAGAGAGGGAAACGCCAGGTTCTTACTAGGCGGTGCTCCAAAGTCATTGTCG